TAGGATGACTAGACCTTTCGAGTACCAAATTTCCATAGGCCACATGTGTAAGATGCTTATGTCCTTTCACAGACTCCATCAGTGGTACACTCAGCCACCACTAAAATCAGGCCTTTTGCCTTTTTCCCTTGTCAGTCTTTCTTCCTTACCCCTATTCTTGTAAACTCTCCTCTTTCTGATACCACAGAGGTAAGTTATCTCCCCTTATTGCTAGCCCTGGATTGGAACCTGTCATGTCACATTCCTCTACATTATCTCACCCCCCCCCCCCAACTCTCCCATGTTGTGAATGTAGTCCCACAAAATAATATCGATTCACATGTGGACAGGATGTTATGGGTTCTGCCCATAATCTCTTCCCCACCCCACCCCCCAACTCTGTTCACTGTTTTTACTGCTTCTTGTACCACACTTCTGTCATCAGTCATTTTCACGTATACATTTAGGAAAAAAGTTTCCTACTATTCTCTCTGTTGTTATTCTGTTGCTGCTGTTGTCCTTTTTCTTTTTTTTTTTTTTTAAATCACTCTTCCTGCATTTTTATTGTTTGGGGTGTTTGAGGAACAAATAGTCTTCAGTTCTGGTTGTATTTCTAAAAATATTTCAAGTTCTTCTTTATTATTGAACATCCTTTTTTTTTCACGTATGATTAAGTTTGGATTTGCGGTATAGGACACTCTGGTCTTTATGTTGAGCTGCATTGTTGTTCAGGACATGTTATTGCATTCCTTCCTATGTTTTCTCATGGGGCAGAGTAGTCTTGGATTATTTGAATATCCTTTCTTCTGTATTTGAAGGTCTTTTTTCTGAACTTGTTGTTTCTGAATTGAATTGTTAAAATTTAACTACTCTGTGTCTTGGAGTTTGCAGCCTTGAATTTTTTTCTGGAGGCAAAGTGTACATTCTTTCAATTGGAATTTCGGTTTCTATGTTCAGAAGTTCTGGGCAGTTCTCTTATTATTTCTCTCATTATGATGTTAAGGCTTTATGTCCTCTCATGTTCTTTTGGGAGACCTATGATCCTTAGGTTGTCTCTGGTGGGAAGGGTTGGCAAGAAGCTTTCAGTTCCTTCCGTCAGTCAGTCTACCTTTGTAGTGGTGGGAAATTACATGGGAAAGGAGATCATAGAAGGAGAGTTGGTCATAGCCATAACAAAGGGAAAATACTGCCTTCAAGGTCAATGGTTTGCTTGCCTAGTGAGCATATTTTCTTTTACTGTTATTTTTTGCTCATCTTCTTGATTGTCCTTCACATCTGTGTATTTACATACCTAATCTATTGTTTTCTCTTTTGGTTCTTGGTAAGACTTGGCATCATTGAACATTTCAGTTTTTTCTATTTTTCTATTTTGACTATCATTTTTGCTCTTTAGGATATGAATTCCATTCTCACAATTCTCATTTATCTTTTGAACCCACTTAGAAACAGTGTGTGTTGGTTGCATATACTACTCAATTTCCACAGAGTCCTCTGTTTCACAAGTTTTGGATAATTTTTCTTTGTTTTACAGTATTTATTCATAGATGCCTGAACTTATTTACTGGACTTGGAAGCCATATTTCTTTCTGTTGTTGTTTTCTTATGATTAATGTTCAAAATCTTTGTGTTTTCTTCATCCTGAAATCTTTGGTAATCTCTCTCTTTTTTTCTCTCTTTCTTTCTCTCCTTCTCTCTCTCCCTTTCCCCCTGTATTTTTGCTATTTCTTGCTTTCTGATTTCTTCCCCTCTGATTGTAGTTTCCTTGGTAGCCTCAAAGCATCTCAGCTTCTTTTTGTGCTGGGCATTTGCACTGCCTCCATGCCAAGAGCACTCTCCCTCCTCATCTCAGCCTCCTGGATTCTTTAAGCTACCTTCAAGCCTCAGCTAAAATCTCATTTTCTACAGGAAGCTCCTTAGGGCCACCTCCCTTGACTTATTTCCTAGTTATCCTACATGTAGGTTGTTTGCACATACTTGTTTGTGTGCTGTCTTCTGCATTAGATCGTGAGCTTCATGCGGGCAGGGATTGTCTTTTGTCTCTTTTTTGTATCTCCAGCACTAAGCACATTGCTTGGCACTTAGTAGGTGCTAATAAATGCTTACTGACTGACAGGACATTGTCTATTGAATTGAATGTTGAGTCCTAAAAAATGTCAAGTAAGGGCAGAACTGAGGCTGGCTGTTCGTTATTCTTTTTTTTTTTTAATTTTTATGTGTTTTTTTATGTGAGGCCAGATTTGAACTCAGGTCCACCTGAATCCAGGGCCGGTGCTTTATGCACTGTGTCACCTAGCTGCCCCGTTAGTCATTCTTGAAGAGGATCAATGACGTCAGGAGGGTGAAGTCTTGACTTGCAAGTGAATTGGATTTAAGTGAGGCAGAGCTGTGCGAAGTCATGAGCCTTACTCTCTCCTCCAGGGTCATCTGAGTCTACTGGCAAGACATAAATCAGGGTGACTGGAGATGACCCCAGATGCAGTGGAAGACCTTGGCCTTTTTAAGCTAAGGTCTTTCCGGGTCTCTGTCTGATTCCCATTCAGTGATTTACTGGTAGGTAAGAAATGAGGCTAAAGATGGCCTAGTTTGCCTGCTCACAGAAAAAAAAAAATCAAACTAGGAGGGGAAGACCCTCAGGGTTTCTGGCCAGAACAGAAACAATTGCTATTTACATGTGCTCTGAGCCATCAAAACCCAAACAGTGACCCATTGAGAAGGGAAAGAAGCCATCAATGGATTATAAGAAAAAAAATAATCTAAGGAGAAAAAAGGTATAATTAACAGGAAATAGGAGGGTAGTAGAAGTGAATAGTTTAGGGAACATATCATTTCTTCATTATGAAATCAGTATTATAAGTGGCGGGATAATATAGAGAAATTTCTTTTGGATATATCTTTTGGATAGAAAGAGAAGAGCATGAGAGAAAGGTGCCCAGGTAAAGAGTTGTCATTCCTCAAAAAGGAAAGGTTGGCAAGCAACTTTCAGTCTACCTTTGGAGTGGTGGGAAAGTATGGATGTTACATGGGAAAGGAGATCATAGAAGGAGAGTTGGTCACAGCCATAATAAAGGGAAAACTCTAGCAGCATCACAAAATGACTCAAAAGAGGAGGGAGGTCTTGCAATGAACTTGGCTGGAGTTTGGTTTGGACATTTCAGGAGATGGGCTTCTATACAATGGAGCCTTGGTACTAACTCCCACTAAAGGAAGGGAAGGAAGTAGTTAGGATCCCAGAGCAGGTTGAACAGGATACCATCGATTCAAAGACTGGCATGGCATCTAAAGGGATGACTAAGGAGAAAAATGACAAAGATCAGGATCGACTACTTCCTTAATACTTGCTATTATATCCTCCAGCAAAAATTAGTACTCCTGGGAACAGAACATAAGCTATCCTAGAAGGAAAAAGGAGCAAGAAAGCAGACAGAAGGACAGCAAAACTTCTTGGAAAGGAACAATACAAATTAATGTTATTTTAAAAAAATTGAAGATGGGGATAGGGAGAATTATCAGAGCTGGGAAAGGAAAGAGAACAAAAGAGAATAACACAAAAAGTAAACTCAAGAGATTTGGAATTGGCAATCAGGTTAAATTGAGTGTTAGTAAAATCATCTGATGAAATGCTAACTTAAGAGCAGGAAATACATACTGCACACTCATTTTAATTGATAACAGACAAACTTGAAAAGCACAAACCTGGATGTGAACAGATTAAATTCCCCAGTAGAGCAGAGTATGCACGGTAGAGAGAATCTAGGAGCTCTGGGGTCAGATGTTGCTGGTGATGTTTATTGCAAGGTTACTGTGTAACCTTGGCCAAATCACTTGCCTTGTCCTCAATTTCTTCATTTATAATGAAGGAACTGGACTAGATTAGGTGGCCTCTGAGATCCCTTCTGGCAATGTGTAGAAGTTACAAGTGGGCTGATTTTTACTCACTATAAAGAATTTAATTACATAGCTATCTTAACAATAGAATGAAATGCTTCATGAGGTAGTAAGTTTCCTGTCATTACAGCTTCCAATATGGGTCAGGTTCATAGTGTTGGGATGAAGTTGGGCTAATTGCTTTCTCAGGTCCCATCCAATCCTAAGATTTTTTTTATTTTGTAAATGAGAGGTGAAAATCCTTGAGGCTAACAAACAAAAATTCCCTGGGCTAGTTTTGGAAGGGAAGAGAGCTGGTGACCTAGGAAGTTAAGCAGGTAGGTCAGTGAGGCTTATGGCCCATTTATTGCAGGATACTGGAGTGTCTCATCAGGCTCTATTGCTGACTCTTTTGTGACCCTTCCAAAAATTTTTTTTAATCTATTTTGAACTTAAATGCAAAAAGACACAGAAAAGAGCATTTCCCTATACACAGCACAGCATAAAGAAGATTCAATATAAAACCAGTTTACTTTTAAAAAAACACCCAACTATGTAATAAATACTACTCATCATTTTCAAAACTATCCTGCTTTTCTGTGCTTCCTTTTAAGTTTTCTTTTGTCTCTGCTATGCATGTTTTATTTTTTTCTCCCTCCCACCCCCACCCTAGAGAAGGTGATCATTAGACATAAATATGAATATACATGTAAAACCATGCTATGCACACTTGTACTTATCAGTTCTTTCTCTGGAGGTGGATAAGCATCTTCAAGACCTGACTCTTTATGCACCTTTGTTTCCTTACCTACAAACTTGGAATGATTCTTCCCGTGCCTTACTTGAGTTTCTGGAAGACTTCTTTAAGTTCTATGAATATCTTAGCTATAGGCACCCTGTGAAGATGTCATTTAAATTCAATCTTTACAATAGTTTTTAAAAAAAGAAACATTTATATACTGAGAATGTATTCACATGCATTTTTGCTCTGTGATAAGTTAGGAAAGAGCATGGTTTTCCAGACTGCCTCAAAGAACTTTACAGATCATGGAGCAGCTCCCTGCTACACTTAAATTTATGCCTAGTTTTCCAGAGGGTCTCTTAGGGAGTTTAAAGCCCCTCAGTAACGGCTTCTCCTTGGCCTGCTTTTCTTTAAGGTTGCAGCTGCTCCATGGTGGTTGCCTGTTAAAGGAGCTAATTGGAGACATCCAGAAGGCCCTGATTCTACTATTCTGCACAGGTGAGTGTTGCTGCTGTTTCCCAGCACTGAAGCCTTCTTTCTCACTCTGCAGACTTTGTGGTTGTGCTTTTTATAGAATGAATTTAAGGTCTTCAGGTGAGCTCCCCCAAATTTGGCCACCCCAAGGAGTTTGTCAAAATCTAACCCTTTGTTCCCATTTTATGCCATGGCTATTTTTGTATTTCATTGATAGTGGGCTTTTAAAGCCTTTTTGAAACATGAAATTACTTTTAAAGAGGAATGTTCAGGTTATGGAATGTTTACTTATATCAGTGTTTACTTATATCAACAATTCTGTCTTGCCAGATGGCCACTGCTGAAGCTGTGTGCTTAGGGTTAAGGATTTAAACTATTTCCAATTGTAGACTGGCATACTTTTTAAAAGAATCCTACAGTAACACTATCTGATTGGTGACTCACAAAGCTACAAGTTGATCGAGTCTCTGAAGCACTGGCAAAGCAATTATCTGCTATTCTGGATGGACTAGATTCTGACTAACAAAGAAGAACTGGTTACTAAATTTAGAAATAATGGGAACCTCACTGGGGAAACAGCCAGTTCATCTTTGGATTCTTGATACGGAAGGAAAGTGCAGTTGTCTGACATACACTATAAATTTTTAGGGAAAGCAGATTTCTAAAATGTTTAGAGAAAGAGGATATGGAATCTCATAGAATAAAAATCCAGAAGGGAGAAGTCAACCCGATAGAATGGGGAGTTCTTTGAAATTAATCAACAGGTCCTACTATGTTCCAGGCACTATACCAGGAATACAAATACGATGAATGAAACAATCCCCATTTGTAAAATGCTCACATTTCAATGGAGTAAACACAAAGGATGTCTAAGTATGTCCAGCATAAATATAAAGAAAACAAATGTAAATAAATAGGAAGAAATTGAATGCAAGATAGCATGAAAAAGAGGATACTAACAGTTGAAGGGATCAGGAAAGCTTCATGGAGAAGGTGGCACTGGATCTGCATCTTGTAGGGAGAGAAGGATTTTGTGACACGTAGGTGAGAAAGGAGAATATAACAAATCTGGGCGATAGCTCGTGCTGGGAGACAGAGGATTGTGGGAAGAATGAAGAAGCAGCCAGATTTGGCTCAGTGGGAAGGGAAGTAACTGGTGAGGTTGGAGCAAGGTTGGGAGGGGCTTTAAAAGCACCACCAGAGGAGGTTGTCTTTGATTTTGAGGCAACAGGGAGCTACTGGAGTTTATTGAGCAGAAGGGTGCCATGGTTAGATAGGCATTTAAGGATTATCACCTGGGCTGCAGCCTAGAGGAGGTTGTGAAATGAAAGGAGATTGGAGACAAGGAGACAGATAAGAGGCCCTCGTAATCATCTGGGTGAGACATGATAAGGGCATGAATAAGAGAAAGGGGTCAGTTGTGAGAGTTGTGGAAGTGGGAACATCAGGATTTAGCAATTGGTTGGTTACATGGGGTGAGAGAGTTCTGAATCAAGGGTGAAACCAAGGTTACCAACATAGAGGAACAGAAAAATGGAACTTTGATAGAAATAGGGGAGTTTAGTAGGAGGAGGGTTTTGGGGAAAAGATAATTCTGTTTTGGACATGTTGAGTTTGAGGTGTCTCTGAGACAATGAATTTGAAATGTCCATTAGAGAGTTGGTGATGATTTGATTTCAGGAGACACAAAAAGAAACAGTTCCGATGAATACAAAAAGGAGTGATCTGAAGACAGTGATGTGGATGCAAAAGGAGCCTATCAACTTAGATAAAAAAAGACATACAGAAGAAACATTCATAATGTCTATGAAAATGAAAAGGAGAGGACTGCTTATATGAGAACAGTGTCAGGATGATTAAGACTTAGAATAAGCTTATATTAGTGATGACTGCTAAGAAAAAGAATGAAGATTATCTTAATATCAAGGGAGAAGGGAGGATCAAAGAGGGCTCACGACTGCCTCTTGGGGGGATGGACAAGAGAAGAAAAAAGGACACAATTTGAATTTTGCTTTTTTTTTCTTTGTCATGGTGAATAATCTTTGAACTGGAAAGGACAGCGCAAAAATGACTGAGAGGTAGGAAGTGAATACTCAGATTACGGAGAAAATAGAGTGCCTGTCTGCCTTCAGAGAGTTGCAGGTACCAGCCTTGAATGAACTTAATTTTTAGGTAGTGGAGTATCTGGCCAATGGGATTGCTGAGCTACCGTGAGTGACTTTTGAAAGGTCATGGAGAATGAGAAGAGTGTTGGAGGGCAAATGTCCTCCAGATTTTTGTGTAAGGTAAGAGAATAGAATGTGAAGAATATAGGCCAGTGAGTTTGACTTTAATTCCTGGCAGAATCCTAGAACATCTCATTAAAGCAATGGCTTGTGAAATTCTTCACAATGAAGTGGTGACCCCGAAGAACCAATGTGTCTTCATCAAGAGCAGGTCATGCCAGACTTGCCTCCTTTCCATTTGTCCTAGGATTATTAGTCAGAGATTGGTGAAGCGACTAAACCCAAAGAGTAGCCATTAATAGTTTAATAGAAAAAACACTAAACATCATTCAGATGTTGCCTCTGGTGCTTATTGGCCATATGTTCCTGGACAAGCAACTTAAATTTTCTGAGCCCCACTTCCCCATTTGTAAAATAATACTTATAATACCCAACTTAACACAGTTGTTTGAAAACGAAAGGAGATTAGTGTATGTAAAGTGCTTTCCTTTTAAAAATATCTTTTAATCTTAAAAATTTATGATTTTTTTACATCATTTATGATTACTAGCGTATCCTTTCTCCTGCCACCTCTTAGAGAGCCATCCCTTATAACACAGAAAAAAGAAGAAGAAAAGCCAGCTCAGCAAGACTAACCAAAACATTAGAAAATATTTTAGCGTACGTGGGGCGTAAAGCGCTTTTCGAACATTCTATACATATTTAAAAATGTGTTGTGCTTAATAGGTCGATGTCAGTGTGAAAGGTTGTCTTCACTAGAATGCCCTGTAGATCAGAGATGGGAACGAAGGCCCAGGTGGCATACTTTATTGGATATACAGTTGACCCAGAGTTGGGAGAGATAGCTAACACATGGGATCAAAGAATTAGGATCTCAAAATAGCTAAGCGGGCTAGAATCTTGCACCAAATCAAATGGGAAGAAATTGATTAGGGACAAAGAATCTACATCCCACTTCAAAAAATCAAGTTATGCAGGTATTAGATGATCAAGATGTGGTTAAATAGAAATTCTTCTGGAAAAGATCTTGGGGGATGGAGTTAGTCTCTTTGAAAGTTCAGTATGAGTCAGCATTGTGATATGGCAGACACTCAAGCTATCCCAGTCTTTGCATTCACAGAGGCACACTGTTCAGAGTGAAAGATGGTAATCTGGTTGGTCAGTCAATAAAGATTTATAAGTGCCTGCTGAGTTCCAGGCACTGTGCTAAGTGCTGGAGATATAAAAAGAGTCAAAAGACAGTCTCTGCCCTCTCGGAGAGCGCCATCCAATGGAAGAGACAACGTGCAAACAAATATGTACTGACAAGCTGTGTGCAGGATGAATCGGAAGTAATTATCAGAGGGAAGTTAATAGAATTAAGAGGCGTTGGGAAAGAGTCCCTATAGAAGATGGGATGTTAGTTGGGACTTAAAGGGAGCCAGGGAAGCCATTAGGTGAAGAAGAGGAATGAATGCATTCCCGGCAGGGAGGACAAGCAGACAAAATGCCCAGAGCTGAGAAGTGGAGTATCTTGTTCATAGAACAGCCAGGAGGCCAGTGTGACTGGATTGAATAGAAGTGGTGAGGAGTAAGGTGTTAGAAGACTGGAAAGGTAGGAGGGGGCCAGGTTATGAATGACTTTGAATGCCAAGTAGAGAAGTTTCTGTTTGATTCTGGAGGTGATAAGGAGTCGCTGAAGTTTATTGAGTAGGGGAGTGATAGGATTAGACCGGCACTTTAGGCAAATCAGTTGTGGCTGAATGGAGAATGAACTGGAGTGGGCAGAGACTTGTGACAGGCAGACCCATCAGTAGGCTGTTGCAGTCATGCAGGTGTGAGGTGATGACGGTGTGCACCAGAGTGGTGGTAGAATTAGAAGAGGGACGGGGACATATTCAAGAGATTTTGCAAAGGTGAAGTCAGCAGGCCTTGGCAACAGATTAGATATGGGGAGTGAGAAATAGTAAGGCGTGGAGGATGACTTCTGTGTTGTGAGCCTGAGGGACCGAAAGGATGGTGTTGCCTTCTAAAATAATAGGGAAGGTAGGGAGAGTCTAGGGGGAGAGATAACAAATTTGGTTTTGGGCAGGTTGAGTTTAAGATGTCTGCTGGACATCCAGTTGAAGATGTCCGAGAGGTAGTTGGAGATACAAGATCGGAGGTCAACAGAGGTTGGGGCAGGACAGCAGAATCATCAGCATAGAGATGCTAATTAAATTCATGGGAGCTGGTGAGATCACCAAGTGAGGTGTTATATCAAGAGAAGAGAATTGGGCCCAGGACTAAACCCTGTGGTAAAGAACATGATCTGGATGAGAATCCAGCAAATGATACTGAGAAATAGTCACATAAGTAGAAGGAGAACCAGGAAAGAGAGGTTTCCTGAAAACCTAGAGGGAAGAAAGTACCAAAGAGCAGAGAGTGATCAACAGTGTCAAAGGTTACAGAGAGATGAAGGAGAGTGAGGATTGAGAAAAGGTTTTGGGGGACAGCTAGATGGTGCAGTGGATAGAGCATTGGCCCTGAAGTCAGGGGGACCTGAGTTCAAATTCGGCCTCAGACCAAACACTTGACACTTACTGGCTGTGTGACCCTGGGCAAGTCATTTAACCCCAATTGCCTATCAAAAAAAAAAAAGGTTTTTGGATTTGGCAGTTGAGAGTAATTTTGGAGAGAGCAGTTTCAGTGGAATGATCAGGTAGCAAAATAGATTGTAAGGAGTTGAGAGTGAGAGGAGAGAAAGAGGAAGCACCTGTTGTAAATGGCCTTTTCAAGGAGTTTAGCTACAAATGGCAGAAGAAATACAGGATTATGTCATTAATGGGGAAGGAAGGAGCAAGTGAGGGTTTTTTCAGGGTGGGAGAGACATGGGAATGTTTGTAGGCAGGAAGGAATGAGCCAGTAGATAGGAGGTTTGAAAATAAAGAAGAGAGTGAGGATGATGGTGGGTACTGTCTGTTGGAGAAGACAAGATAGAATGGGATTGCTTGATCAGGGAGAGAAGTTAGCCTTGGTAAGGAGTAAGGCCACCTCATTATGAGAGAGGAATGAAGGAGGAGAGAGAGAGTGGCAGAAGAGGGAGCTCGTGGTGGATGGCTGCATTTTTTTTTTCAGTAAAATATGAGTCAAGGATCTCTACTGAAAAGGTGGGAGGAGAGGGAGCCAGGGGATGTTTGAGGAGGGATGAAAAATTTTGGAATGGTTGCTGTGGGGAGTTCTTCCTAGCCGCAGGCCTTCAAGGAGAGCCACTGGACAAGGATGTTGTAAAGAAGGGTCTGTTTCTATTATGGGGTTGGACTAGACGAAGTCCCTTTCAGGGCTGAGATTCTAGGATTCTGTAATTTGTGCCTGACTAACATCTGGGCATGTCTGTTTCAACCATGTGGTAATACTGTTGGGGTGAGTGGGGCTCATTGGAATAAAGCGAGCCTCACTGAATGCCAAGCTTTTTTTGCATTCTTATTTGTGCCATTTTTCTCTTGTTACTAACCAGACAGGATCACCCAGTTCTCCATGTCTCCTGGAATGACGCGGTTGCATACTGCACTTGGGCTGGAAAGCGGTTACCCACTGAAGCCGAATGGGAATATAGCTGCAGAGGGGGCCTTGAGAATAGGTACTTGCCGAGTATAAACCTTAGTAATGTTTGGCTTTTTTTTTAACGTCAGGGAATCTTTCAGTGATCAAGGAGGATTTTTTAAAAAAATCCTTACTTATTTTCTTTTCTCACTGTGTTTAATTCATCTCAACAGAGTTACTTGGGGCATACTGACAAATGGGACCAAGTCCTTTCCCTGGCATTGTAAAAAGAGTTCTAATCCTTCTGCTTTCGAAAGGCCCAGAGGTTGTAATGCTGGGGCATTAGAAAGATGCTCATTGCTCTTTACATTGACTTGGCAAGCTCTCTCCCTGTCAGCATTCTCCTATTTTTAGGCACCTTCTAAAACTAAGACACATTTCCATGTTGCTAAAACTTGGAGTGCATTGAAGCCTGGGTTAAATCTTCTAGGAAAAGGCTACTTAAAATAGTGAAATATTTATAAAAGAGTCCCAGTGTAATGTTGCATGACCAAGCTACCATATAAGTGCATGATGTGGCCTGAATGGTTGCAGTTCTCTAAGGCAGCCTCGGTTTCAGTCCTCCTGAATGGTCTGGAAGCTGTGAGCTTCATAGGATCTGATCCTGCCGACATTCCCCATTCCCCCCAATCCTGCCCCATTGAAAGTATCCCATTAAATGTAGCTTGGTCTGACCACGGTAGCCATGTTCTTTCTTTTTGTTACACTCTTCTGTCTTCTGGATTTCAGTCCAAAAGCCTGAGCATATTTGACAGGTTCTTGCCTCTGTCTCTTCTGACAGACTTTATCCATGGGGCAACAAGTTGCAGCCAAAAGGTCAACATTATGCCAACATTTGGCAAGGAGAATTCCCTGTGAGCAACACTGGTGAAGATGGCTACCGAGGAACGGCACCTGTGAGTATTTGGGCTGGATACAGGCAGAAGGGCCCTCCCTGCGTGTTCTTCTGTTCCCTTGGCATGTGTTTGCTGCCCATGTGGCAAATACTGTGAGTGATCAGACACTTTTAATGAAACGACGTGAGAGGTGTCTTTATTTAATGGCCTGGAGAGAAATTCACTGGTTGGGAGTAACTACTTTAGGAAGTTGCTAGATTATTTTTAAAAATTGTCTTTTAAAAAATATTCTTTATTTCTGCCTCAAAAAATAAAGGCAAAGAAGATAACTACACCTTTTGATGGCAAAGGAAAAGACAGGAAGCAGTTTTGCATGTATTTTTAAGATATTGAATGACACTAAGTGATTTTAAAATGCTGTGAACTTACTTGAGAGGATGATAGTTTCCAGAAAATAAAGATTCATGTCAGAGTTTGCTCTGTAAACTTCTTAAAGACCTGTATAAATACTGTCATTATTGTGGAGGCAGTAGATTGGCCTTAGAGTTGGGGAGATCCGAGTTCGAATTCTGTCTCTGGAAAGTATAAGCGATGTGACCCCAAACAAGTCACTTAACTACATAGAGACCCAGGCTGCTCTTGGATGTGATAAATGTCAGATGAGATGCTTGTGCATAACTGTGGAGGGAGTTTCCTATGCTTAGTGGAAGCATGCTTCTCCCCCCTTTGCTTCCCAAATATTATGCAAATGTGTTGAGCCTCTTTGTTTTAGGTAATTTTATAGTATGAGATTTCATGCCTAGGGGCAGCTAGGGGATGCAGTGGATGGAGTGCTGAGCTTGGAGTCAGGAAGACTTGAGTTCAAATCCGGCCTCAGACATTTACTAGTGTGACCTTGGGCGAGTCACTTTAACCTCAGCCTGCCTCAGTTTCCTCAACTGTAAAATGGGGCTAATAAGGGTACCTACCTCCCTATGTTGTATTGTGAGGATGAAATGAGATGATATTTGTAAAATGCTCAGCACAGTGCCTGACACACGGTAGGTAGGAGCTGTCTAAATTCCAGCTGTGAGGATGGTGTTCAAAATTATTGCTTAGGTATTCCAATTATGCACCAAACTCAGGATGTTCAGAACAGAATTCATTCTCTTTCTTCCACAACCTGTTTATTCTTCTGACTTTCCTATTTCTGTGAACATTTCTTGAATCTGTATTGTCTTCTCCCTTCCCAGTTTTTGGGAAGTGCTTTTGACAGTGATGTCTATGTGTCCACACACACACACACACACACACACACACACACACACACACGTATATATGTGTGTGCCCATACATGTATGTTATTATTTAGTCATTTCAGTCATGTCCGACTCTTCATGACCCTGCTTGGGTGGCTCATGTCCGTAGGCCTCCTATCTGAACTGTTGCTAACCTATTCCAGTCATGTCCCTGCTAGTCTCCCTTCCTCCAGTCTGTTGGCTGTTTAGTCCATCTTATGCATTTACTGATCCAGTAATCTTAAAACACAGTTCTGATAATGTCATTCTTTTATTAAAAAAAAATTCAATTATTCCTGTTTATTTTAATAAAAATCTATATTCCTAAGCCCACTGTTTAAGCTCATTCATGCTTGCCTAGGTTGTCTTTTTTAGTTTTATCTCCTGTTTCTACTTGTCATCTGCCCTGTGCTCTAGTCCAACATTTCTCAGAGATTTTTGGTCTTAGGATTCCATTATGCTTTCAAAAATTATTGGGGACCCCAAAGAATTTTTGTCAGTGTGGATTCTATCTATTAACATTTACCATAATGGAAATTAGATCTCTTAATATTATTAGGAAAAAAAAGTTTTAACTTCATAGAACCCCTGAAAGGAGGTAGGGGACTCTTGGACCACATTTTGAGACCTGCTGCTCTAGCCAGCTGGACTCCCTGTTCTTCTTTGAACATGATCACCTTTTGTGCCCATCACATGCTATTATTCATCATCTTCCTTCTCCAGGAATACTGTCTTATGGAAATAACAGAATTTGGAACAAAAAAACCCCAAACCCAAACCCTAGATTTAGTCTTGCTTCCCTGAGACTCCATTTCATTGATTTCCCAAAGATGATAGTAATATCTGTAGCACCCTCCTGCTTCTTAGGGTTGTTGTAAGGATCAGATATGTGAAAAACTTTATGGAGACCTCAGACAGCTAGAAATATATCAGCTCCTGTTATGTGCTTGTTCTTTCCCCATTCCATACCCCTACCCCCAGTTTGTCACTGTTAGCTTTACTTGTAGATGTAAAGTCCCAGTTCCAAGGTGTTATCTCACCTGAAGCCTTCTGTGATGCACACATATGAAATGGTTGTTAAATTCCATCCAAGAATTGAATGTGTGTGTGTGTGTGTGTGTGTGTGTGTGTGTGTATACACACACACACACACACACACACACACGCACACACACGAGCAGCTGAGTCAGTAAGACCTGAATTCAAATCCTCTCTCAGACATTTAATAGCCATGCGATCCTGGGCAAGTCACTTAACCCTGGTTGACTCAGTTTCCATATCTGTACAATGAGCTGGAGAAGGAAATGGCCAACCACTCCATTATCTTTGCCAAGAAAACCCTAAAAGGGGCCATGAAGAGTCACTGAAACCACTAAACAACATCATACACATATACTCGCACTCACGTAGATGTATATGTGTGTATGGACATAGACATCAATGTTAAAATGTAAATTATTGTTAAATATGTCCTGTGCTAATAAAATGTTACCATTTTGGTACATCCCCCCCCCCATTCTCCTTAAGAAAACAAACTGTTGCCTTTAGTATTTTGGATCTATGTGAAATTGCATAGGAGACTGTCTAGTCTGCCTTGGAAATGTATTTAAAGTATATTTGTGATTTATCTCCGACTCCTAGGGACTGAGAGTCAGCAAAAGCCCCAAGATTATTCCATAACTTGGCAACAGTGCCTGGGAGAAGTAGAGACCTTGGCTTTGAAGCCTGCACTCATGATGAGGGTTTGGGGAGATGGTTAGGGGCTGGGGCTTTAGGGCTCAGAAATGGGCACTATCTGTCTGTGCTGTGAGAGCTGAAGTTGACAGCAAGATCCAGCTCCTGTGACTTTTCAGATTACTGTATTGGGTCCAGTTGAGATCAGAGACGATTCACAGCCGAGTTCATTTTTATGTTTTAGATGGAGTAAACATCCCTCTCCTGCCCTCCTCTGTTAGATGAAGTTTTGTTTTATGATCAGTGATAAATTTTTCTGTTAGAAATAACTTAATGGTATTTTATACCACATTAAGTATAAACTCTCTGCGGATTTATAAATTCCCCTTCAGGGCCCCAAGCTGGGAAATGCATCTTTATTTGCATTCATGTTTGTTGGCCAAATTATATTTTGACTGATGAAAGGGATGTTAATATTTACATGGGAGAGCCAGAGCTCTAATTTAGTGCTTTTTTCAGCCAAATGGGTTTATGAAAACATGAAAATTTTAACAAATTCTTTACTTTGTATAGGTTACTGCCTTTCCTCCAAATGGGTATGGTCTGTACAACATAGTGGGGAATGCATGGGAGTGGACCTCAGACTGGTGGACCATTCATCATTCTGTTGATGAAACCCTTGATCCTGTAAGTAACCCTTTCTGAAGGTGCGTTCCATATTGGAACCTTTTTGCTGGGCTGGCTCTGTATACATCCTGTCTAGGGGGAAAAGCAGTAGGATAATCTGCCTTCTCTGGGGGAGTGTGCCAAGAAGATGTTCCATTCAGTTCATTGGTACTAGGTACATAGGCAAGGACCTATTATGATTAAATCTCTGAGCTAAGATCTGTGGGGTACATAAAAAGATTTGGTCCCTGTCCTTAAGGAGGTGGGAGATAAAGATACATAATGATTATTCAGTGGAACATGTCATGAGTATCATAAGAGACCAGTCACGTACTTTGGAACTTAAGAGGCTGGAATGATACCATCTGTTGAGTTGGGGGCAGGATACATAACAAATGACATTTGTTTCATAACAAGTGCCATTTGAATAGGGCTTTGGAATTTGAGTAGAATTTTGATCTGTGGGGGTAAGGCATTCTGGGCTGAGAGGAGTACATGAGCAAAGGTAGGAGGACATGCGGTGTATTTGGGGAGCCGTAACTAATCTAGTTTGGGTGGACTAGAGAGTATTCTGATAGGCAGTGTGGTGGAAAGGAGAACTAACCTTAGATCCAAGGGGACCTGATGTGCAGTTCCACCTCTGACACGTGTGATCTCTATGACCCAGGGCAGAGTGCTCCAAGCAGCAGTGGAGAGGAAGGTCCTCCCTGGGAGCTCCTTGCAGCTGGAAAATTCATTGTTCCTTTCCCATATATAGTAATACAGGTGCAGAGTGGGAGATAATTCTGGAAAGAAATGAGCCGTGTTGTGGAAACCTTGAAATTTCAGGCAGAGTAATTTGCATTTTAGTCAGACTATAATATGGAGCTATTGAAAATTTTGGAGCAGAGGAGTATGTGAATTTTTATTATTCAGTAGAGGCTTTCGGTTAGTAACCTTGAGTTTACAGAAGACAGTGGGCAGGCAAAGCAGATAGCAAGCATTTTTAAAGCAGTTATTATGTACCAGGTACTGTGCTAAGTGCTGGGATTAAAAGACAATCAAAAAAATAGGCCCTGCCCTTGAGGAGTTTATATTCTAGTGAAGAAGTATGTACATAAAAGGGAGCTGAAAAGAGGCAGGGATTAGGAGGGGTAGAGAAGGTACCTGAATGGGGGGCATGTTGTTGAAGTCTGGAAAGTCAGAAGCATAGCCAGGAGAGGAATGAAGCTTCTCTAGCTTGGGCCGCTTCCCAAAATGGAGGCACTAGCAAGAACTCACCAATGGGAAGGTGATGGGGGGAGATATTATAGGATGAGAAAGCTGTAGGGCTGGATGGGTGTTCTTGGATGGGAGGCCTATGTACTGTGACTTCAGCTGAGATGTGGTGAAGTTCAGAAAGTCAGGATCACAGCCAGGAGAAGAATAAAGGTTGACTGGCTTGGGCCCCTCCCCCAAATGGAGGGACCAGGAGAAACTCACCAATGGTAGAAGGGGGTTGGCATGGCACAGAGATGTTCCAGGGTAAGGAGGCCTCCTTTTTTCACAGTTAAAAAAGCATTTTTGTGGTTAGAAGGCAAGCACAAGGCTGCAGCCTTCTAGAATATTGTGAGGGGATGGGGTACTCTCTAAATGATGAATTAGGTGACTCTCCAATCCAGTTCATTCAGTTAATTGAAAAGTATTTCCTAAGCACTCATTTAAGAAACTTAGCAATTTTCTAGGCATAATAGGAAAGGGCAATAGAAGTATTATGCACTGTTTCTGCCTGCAAATTGCTTATAATGTGGTTGAGGAAGGACATTGAATGCATCTGATTTACCACCTTGGGTAGGTCAGTCAGTAAACATTTATTAGGTGCCTACTATGTACCAGGCATTGTGTTAAGCTCTGGGGATACAAAGAAAGGCAAAAGACAGCTCCTGCCCTCAGGGGACTCACTGTCTAATGGAGGGAGATAACACATAAAAAAAACCTTAAGGAGTGGTGGGATAGGGGTGGGAAGAACAGAGAGACAGGAAGGGAGGGAGAGAATGAACCTGCAGGCTGGCATTATGCTGAAGTCTTACAGGCAGGTGGGAAATGATGGGGAGCTGCTCTGGGCCCCCTCCTTAAGTGGAGGATCTGGGAGGAGCTCTCTTATGTCCACACTCTACCCTCTCCAGTCAGAGAGAGCAAGGATCCCAAGAGGTGTGAGTTTCAGAGTTGATATGATATTGCAGGAAGAAAGAAAGAAAATAAGTAGCAGAATAAATGAAATCTGTGACTGCAGGGTATGTGTACGTGTGTGTGTGTGTATTTGTATATGTGTATGTATTCACATTGGGGGCAGCTAGGTGGCTCAGGGGATAGAGGGCCAGGCCTAGAGTCAGGAAGACTCATCTTTATGGATTCACATCTGGCCTCAGCCACTTAGTAGCTGTGTGACCCTGTTTGCCTCAGTTTCCTTATCTGTAAAATGATCTGGAGAAGGAAATGGCAAACTGCTCCAGTGTCTTTGTCAAGAAAACCCGAAATGGGGTCATGACTGGAAATGACTGAACAATAATAAATGAATACACATTGAAAATTCATCATTCATAGACTGAAAAAACTTTGGCATGTAGATATAATGGAATACTATTGTGTAGTAAGAAATGAATGCGAAGAATTAAAAAAAAGTTTGATAAGATTTATGTGAACTTATATAGAGTGAAAAACCGTAACAAAAGAACATGCACACTGACTACAACAATGTAAATAAATAATAAGATCATTCCAAAAGAAGCTGAACTGAGTAATTGAAAAACCAGTGATGGTACTTGCAAAGAAATAATGAAACATAATTGCTTCCTTATAGTAGAGAGGTGGCGGGGGACTACCAGGGCAGAATGTTGTACATGTCCTCAGGTGAGGTAACTATGCATGCATTTTTGTTTTTCTTTTCATGAGGAAAGTGTTCTCCGTGGACAGGGTGAAGGGAAGAATCTTCTTCCCTTCCCCCAACACCCTTCCCCCAGTGACTGATATGGTAACAAAAGACAACAATAAAGCATTTTAAAAAGAAACCATAATAAATTGTTAAAAAAGAATATCCTCAAATACATTTCATCGTGTGAACAGATTGAAAAGTCATATACAGAATGTCCTTGAATAAGAAGCCCAGGCATTTAGGCAGCCCACCTTCAGGCATCTCTATTCCTGCTAATACTAGCTAGACAGGGACCTGGCATACTTAATACATTTTGGCCTTTTAAAAGCAAGAGAAATTACTGGAAAAGGAGGAATAACTTCTCAAGATTTCCTCACTGGTGGGTGAGCAGCTGTCATTTGCCACTCAGGAAATTTTGTAGAGGTTGTCATAGCTCAGGTTTTTGTGCCCCAGGCAGGTTTCTTGGTGTGATTATAAATTTTGCTTTGTGGTGCTTGCCTTTCTTGAGAGTGTAACACATGGGCTATTGATAAATAATCCAAGTCTTAGATGTGCTTCCTTGGTTAAAGATGAAAAGGGACTCCTTCAGGAACTGTGATTCTCTGTTATGCTTTGGGAGACAGAGAGGTCAAAGATAACCCTTCCCCCTGAGAATAGAAGGTTATGAAATCCTCACTGGCTCTACAGCCAGGAGACAGGAGACATTACCATCCACTGGCAAGATGTAGGACCAGCGGTTATTTGCAGTCAGACGTGGAGGTAGTTTTTCCCTTTTTTCACAGATAAAAAGCATCTGTATGCTTGGAAGGAGAGCAGCCTTCTGGCATAGTGGGAATCCATATCTTTGGCCATCTGGTTCCTGAGTGGGTATTAGCTCTCTGTCTGTATGTTTCTTCCAAGGATGTGAAGTTTTCAAATATTCTCTATCTTCACTAGTCACAGACTACTCAGTAACTGGTTAGAGGTGGTTTTCTGCCTCTATTGTTTTATACCTACATTTGCTTCCTGAATTGACTAGTGATGATGTCCTACTGTTTCCAAGTATGAAAACTTAGACCCTAGAACCTCATCTAGCATCATGAGTATTTGAGTATTTGAGCATCAGACAGCTGTTGACAGGTTGCTTGTGATCTGTGGTTATGGTCAGGGTGGGAGGAAAAAGTGGCAGAAACAACCATTTTAAGTTTGAGTCTTGTTTAATGAGAGATATCAGGATAAAAGGCATAAATTGGGTGCTTTGTTTTTGGGCCCCAAGCCTATCCATCATGATACAAAATAGTGTAAAGAGGGACCTTTACCCACCTGCAAACAGGGGTGTGCCTTTGGATCTTGACTTTATTGGATATGTTTTGGGGAGTTGATGAATCTGTTAAAATATCACACCCAGAAGTAGATACAGTGCTCCAGGCAGATTCTCAGCTTTGTAGAGTGCAGTGGTCCTATTATTTTCTTTGATGTAGGCATCAGACGGATATAGTGTATGATTGCATAGATCATAGGGCACAGGAGAGGGGTGTCCATTTTTCAGTCTCTGCCTCATCAGCTCAATAAAACTGATGATCAATCAGGGAACCACATTTTCCTACCTTGTATTTGTACAGTTGATGTTTTGAATTTATTAAAATTCATCCTTGTCAAATGTGGACAGCTCTAGTTTTTAGGAAGTTTTTTCTGATGTTAAAACCTAAATTTGCTTGTTGAAACTTTGATCTATTGCATGGCTTTCCACAGCCCTTCCAACAATGACCATTTTCATTTTTTCTTATCTTTGCCAATTTTTTAAGGCTGTTCTACTAATTTTTTTAAGGCAGTTCTATTAATTTTCATTTTCTATTACTGATCTGGACTGTTTTGGGGTATGTGTGTGTGTGTGTGGGTGGATGTGTGCACACACACGTTTTGTAGTTAAAAATAAACTATTCTGTTATCAATAAGAACAGAACAAAAAGGCTAAAACTGAAAGCTACATAATCATAATGACCAAGGTTGGCTTCAGAGTAAACCTCCGACCTCCCATATAACTTAACATAAATGATCTTTGGAAATAAAGTAGGAAAGGAGAGGATTAATGAATTGAGCATACTTTTTTTTTTTAAAGAGAAACCCAAAATAAGCACAGAAGAGATTTTTA